TGTTGAAATACAGTGAAGTTATATTGAAAAGTTTTTTTTTTTGTGTAAACCCTTTTTGCCTTTAAAAAAAGTTAAGAACAAATATTCTGGTTTTAATGAAGATGAATCATCAATTGGGTCTAATAGATTAGTATTTCACACCGTAACTTGTAATTGTACTTAACGTCGACATTTCTATACGAAAATTATAGTAATATTCAGCCGTTTTTTTATTACTCTTCAATTATGGGGCCTTTTCAAAGTGAATTTACTAGTAGATTTGTAGGTGTGAATTTTGTATTATATTACTTATGCACATGCACTAAATTAGAAATAAAGTAAAAAATATGTTATGTGATAGAATTAATTTAGAATAAAGCAAAAATACTTATTCTAAATTAATTCTATCGCATAACATATTTTTTACTTTATTTCTAATTTAGTGCACGTGCATAAGTAATATAATACAATTACAATACGAAATTCACACCTACAAATCTACTAGTAAATTCACTTTGAAAAGGCCCATGATTTACTCCTTAATCATATTACATATTGAGAAATATATTATATATATTATAGTATTTTAGCCATTCTCAATACCATTTAATCCGTATTATGCACCATCACAATTTATTTCCTCACAATCACAAACTAGTTAATACATTTCAAATACTATACCAACTATAGCGAATTCTAAAAAAAGGTGGGCCAATTGCTTTTACATACGGGCCAATTGACGTATTTTGGGCCCTGAATAGAGTCATTAAATTAGTTAAAACAGTGTTCAAACCCTTATTTAATTTTTTTTGATTAGTTTGACGAATTATTAGGGTGATTGTTTTGATTTATTAAAGGTTTATTCTGCATTAGTATGCAACAAGGATATAACGAACTTGTATCAAACCTATTAGATTATCTTAAAATCATTAGATTATCGTCTAATTATTAGCCTGGAGCTACTAAGACATATTTCAAAATAAACCTTTTGCCTCAGTCTTTCAGACAATTGTATTGTCAAATAAACTGTCCCACTACGTGCATCAAAAATTTTTAAGGTTCTCTCTTCTGCATATTGGCCCATATGATCAAGTTTTTTGAATAAATTTGAAGCACAGCAAGTTTTCGTAAAAATTTATACAAATTATCAGATTATGAGTTTGAACAATGTGTTGCAAAGACGGTTGGTGCTCAACAAACCTTGTGTAATTATGCTAAAAAATATTAATTGATACAAAATAGACAAATGCTTTTTTAATTTTTAGAAATCTGATATATTATAAAAGGTTTTTGACATCTCAGGTGTAATTTGTGAACATGCTAATAATAAAGAATACATTGGATCATGAGGATATAAATTATATTACTAATGCAAGCTATATAATAAATTATATGTAATCTAAAATGAAAAATATCCTTGAAGTATTGGTGAACCCCATGTTAAGATCGACTGATAAGCCCAACACTGCAATCTCTTAGTCTAAAAATAAAACAAAATCATTAGCATTATATATCGAATTGGGGGCAATTCCTTCAAGAAAGCTCATTACTGATCTATTACTACGAACATCTAAGACTGTTCTAAGCCGTAATTCATGTCCTTCATTCAGTCTTCCTTTGGAAGGTCTTGGCGCACCTCGTAAAATAGCTGTAATATCAAGTTGGACTCGATTTTGTTCTTTCTGAATCTCTTTTATAAATTTTGAGAATTTTTAACAAAACAACTATACA